CTTACCTGATCTGTAGGCTGTCTCTGGCTGCATGTGTTGCTCCGCTGCGGTTTAAATCAGCAGAGAGAAGCAGGGATAGATGCAGCTTCCTATCCCTGTCTCTCTCCATACTGGCCGGCGCCGGTATTGCAGTTCATTTTAAATCTCACACGAAAAATATCAGAACAAGCTGAAATCCAGAGGGGGGGGCAAGTGCCCCCCCTTGCCCCCCCCTGCGGACGCCCATGCCAGCAGACTTGAATAAAGGTAAGATTTTACTATATTTATTGGGGCAAGGGGAGGCCAGATGATGTTTTTAACACCAAAGGGTCAGGAATACATATTTGTGTTTCTTTATGATACACAACACTGAACAGCATAACATGAATTACAATACAGTACTGTTACATCTAAAACGTTAAACATGGCAATAGTCTACATGTTATAATGAATTACAAGAATAATTAAAAGTGGTTAAATTGTTTCAGTGGTGCTATTACTTTGCATGCTCACACAGTAAACAATAAGAAAACCCACTTCTCCATTATGCACCATAACTCAGATCATGAAATTAAGCAAAAATAGAGAGAGAAAGAGATAAGATGGCTGCTAAATCGCAAATATGCAATAGTTTCCCCTTCATTTAGTCCTGGTTCACGGCTTAAACACGTTTTTGCTCATATGTGTCACTGCAGAGAGAATCTAGGTCTGCTGGTGGTCTAAATTTGAAAACCTGATGAGATCATCTACACCAGGTGTAGGCAACTTTTGCACTCCAGGTGTTGAGGACTACATCTCCCGTATTGATCTTACAGCCATAAAGCTGGCAGAGCATCAGATAAGATATAGTTCACATCTGGAATGCCAAAGGTTGCCCACCCCTGCTCTAAACAAGGGGTGCCACAACTTCAGACAATTTTTTCAACTTCCATTGAGCATATTCAAATTTACCTATATAATATAGAATGCACACTATAACAACTTAAATAATTAAGTATGATACGACTTTGTTAAGTAGAAAAAATCTCAATATCAAACAAAAAACAAAATAGACAAAGTAACAGAAACAGAGGCAAACAATAATACAATTGTACTATAGCAAAAAAATCTTACAAGCCCCAAGGCAGAAACACAAGTCACCAAGTACCCCAATGTTAACTGGTTGCTTTTATCAAGGGTACCTGTATCCTTGTTCCCATGTGTCTGTTTATAAAGCCCTCGTACAGCTGATGACCAACCAGTTGGTGCCGAAACATTGGGGGAGTTGGTGACCTGTGTTTCTGCCTTGGGCTTGTAAGATTTAAGTTGTTATAATGTGCATTCTATATTATATAGATATTTGGATATTTAAACATTTAAGGGAGTGTTTATATAGTTTGCAACTGGCTATTTAAATATAACTGTGTCTCTCAATGGGATTTTGTTTTTTGTATTAAAACATCTTTTAAAAAAAAATTTTATTCACTATTTGAAAATATTTTGCTTAGTGCATTACCTATAAAAATTGTGTGTACATTTTGAATAGACAAGCAATCACTTTTAAATAGATGTTAATTTTTGTTTCTCCACTTCCCCTAGATTAAGATTGGTAGAGGTATATGCACATCTAGTGATTCAGCCAGTCACACCAGTCTTGCTCTTTTTAATACAGTTTTGTAAATTGAGAGGGAAAATGATTGCAAAGAAACAGAATGAGGGAGAAGACAAAAAAACACACACACACAAAAAGAACATCTAACTTTTTATCTTAAAATATCAAGTGTATCAATTATATCTAAGACATCACACTCTATGTTTGATGGAATATTATATAACAACCACATATCATTTAATCTGACCAATTGCCAAATGTCATCTTTTATTAAATTACAGGAATTAATTTCCTGCAAAGTGGAAATAGAGCAAAATTTCCTGAATTTACCAATACAAATTAAAGAACAGTAGAAATAATTTTTTTTTTTTTTAAATCACTGTAGAAATTACATCTGGAATAAAAAGTTCAGTTAATTCCCCACGGAGCTACTTACAAAAACTTATAGTCTGGTTAGAGATACTTTGAGCGATGACATTTAAATGCCACATCTGATAATATGTCAGCACACGATTTGACAGTCAGAGCTCATTTGAGTGCTTTAATGGATACCTGTGATTTGCTATCCTGTATTTCTTGCAAGATGGCTGTTATAGGCTAATACATAATGCAATCTGCAGAACTGAATAATAAAATTAAAAAGTGTTATTCAGATAGAATCAAAGAGACATATTGGTTTGGAAAAACTCAAGTAAAGTTGCCTGTACACAATCCCATTCCACAACTCATATTTTAAAAAACTATTTTTTTGCTTCTGTAACGGCCATCAAAATATATGCAAAATGTATGGAGGCATTAGACATTCTTACGAAACTTTACAAACGAACTAATCATAAATAGAGCACATGAGCTATGTGGCTGCACTGTTATAGGTCTAGAACACAAAAGCAATCAAAAACAAACAACTGCTGCCCAAAACTAGTGGGGGTTTGAGTGCAGAGTCAATATGTGTATTTTCTACATATTAGTTTGTGTGGGTGATGCAACAGCTCGAACAAGCTCACCTTCTTAAAAGGGGAATTGAAGTGGTTTTGGTGCACAGGTCTAAGAAATGTCAATGTTAAGATTGAAGGTTTCAATCCTTCTCTATAAGAAGCATTGGATTGAGATGATCAATAACGATTTTCTCACAGTATGAGGAGATGACGTTGAGAGGCGACTATCACTGCGTTGGTAAAAGGTAAATTTAAAGGCTTTTCTTTTTGTTTTAAAATGGGTCCCATCATCCACAACATAGAGATAAACGAAGGTTAAAAATAAGTATAGTGGTTCCTTTAAACTAGGCATGCTACGGAAAACTTAAAGGACCACTATAGGCACCCAGACCACTTCAGCTTAATGAAGTGGTCTGGGTGCCAGGTCCAGCTAGCTTTAACCCTTTTTTTTTTTTTTATAAACATAGCAGTTTCAGAGAAACTGCTATGTTTACCTATGGGTTAATCCAGCCTGTAGTGACTGTCTCAGTCAGAAAATCACAGTGAGAAGACGCCAGCGTCCATAGGAAAGTATTGAGAATGTATTGAGAATGCTTTCCTATGGACTGGATGAATGCGCGCACGGCTCTTGCTGCAAATGCGCATTCAGCCGGTGACGGAAGAAGAGGGAGGAGAGGAGGAGGCGAGCTCCCAGCCCGGAGCTGGAAAAAGAGGTAAGTTTAACCCCTTCCTCCCCCCAGAGCCTGGCGGGAGTGGGACCCTAAGGGTGGGGGCACCCTCAGGGCACTATAGTGCCAGGAAAACGAGTATGTTTTCCTGGCACTATAGTGGTCCTTTAAAGATAATTAACCTTTCCCATTTTGTTACACTGAAGATCGGTTCATTATTCCAATATTTAATTATTAGTACTTAAAATAACTCACTAAGAACCAAAACTTTGCAAGGAATGCCATTCTTTTATATTTTTTTCCTGTATTATTTAACAATATAGTAGGAATTTATTAAGTACATTTCAAACAGTCGTTGACATAGCATTTAAAACCTGACAGGTAGGTTCTTTAAAAAGGTCCTTTGGAGAACTGCCAAAATGGATAAATCATAAACGAACTAGTGTTTACTGAAATATTTGTCGTATTCTGCACAGTATGTCGCACTCGTTTAACAACAGAAGCCGCTAATGATGCCACAAATTCTACAATGAAGCAAATAAATAAAGATAGATATCTTTTTTTTCTATTATAAAATTCCCCAAGGATTGCCAATATGAGTTACAAAATCATTAAAAACTGATTATTATTCCTAATGTATGCAAGAGTTGGTTTTAGCATCTGCTGCATCTTTCGTGCAGAGGGAACTTGCTGGAATTTATGTTCTGGACTACCCTTATGGGTGGGATCAGTTTGATGTGCAATGGTACCGGCATACTCTTTAATAGCACACGTGAGCAAAAACTATTTTGAGACCTGAGCAGAGGGTTACAGAAGGGCAAGCTACTGAGTTTTGCTTAGTATTTGTCAATTGTTAGAGTTCTCATATCTTCTGTTTTTGTTGCAAACTCAAGCATGGTGACCCGACAGAATATAGAAATTGTAATTTATAAAAGTGTTACTTGAAAATATAGTTTTCTGCTTCTGCACTGGTTAATTCTGATGAATTTGATACATGGTCGACATTTTCCACATCACGTTTTATCACATTGCCTTAAAGCAAAGGCTTCCTTACGAAATGCAACGTCACATTCATTTATGTGAATTTACAGTGTACAGGGAGTGCAGAATTATTAGCCAAGTTGTATTTTTGAGGATTAATTTTATTATTGAACAACAACCATGTTCTCAATGAACCCAAAAAACTCATTAATATCAAAGCTGAATATTTTTGGAAGTAGTTTTTAGTTTGTTTTTTAGTTATAGCTATGTTAGGGGGATATCTGTGTGTGCAGGTGACTATTACTGTGCATAATTATTAGGCAACTTAACAAAAAACAAATATATACCCATTTCAATTATTTATTATTACCAGTGAAACCAATATAACATCTCAGCATTCACAAATATACATTTCTGACATTCAAAAACAAAACAAAAGCAAATCAGTGACCAATATAGCCACCTTTCTTTGCAAGGACACTCAAAAGCCTGCCATCCATGGATTCTGTCAGTGTTTTGATCTGTTCACCATCAACATTGCGTGCAGCAGCAACCACAGCCTCCCAGACACTGTTCAGAGGTGTACTGTTTTCCCTCCTTGTAAATCTCACATTTGATGATGGACCACAGGTTCTCAATAGGGTTCAGATCAGGTGAACAAGGAGGCCATGTCATTAGATTTTCTTCTTTTATACCCTTTCTTGCCAGCCACGCTGTGGAGTACTTGGACGGGTGTGATGGAGCATTTTCTTGCATGAAAATCATGTTTTTTCTTGAAGGATGCAGACTTCTTCCTGTACCACTGCTTGAAGAAGGTGTCTTCCAGGAACTGGCAGTGGGACTGGGAGTTGAGCTTGACTCCATCCTCAACCCGAAAAGGCCCCACAAGCTCATCTTTGATGATACCAGCCCAAACCAGTACTCCGCCTCCACCTTGCTGGCGTCTGAGTCGGACTGGAGCTCTCTGCCCTTTACCAATCCAGCCACGGGCCCATCCATCTGGCCCATCAAGACTCACTCTCATTTCATCAGTCCATAAAACCTTAGAAAAATCAATCTTGAGATATTTCTTGGCCCAGTCTTGACATTTCAGCTTGTGTGTCTTGTTCAGTGGTGGTCGTCTTTCAGCCTTTCTTACCTTGGCCATGTCTCTGAGTATTGCACACCTTGTGCTTTTGGGCACTCCAGTGATGTTGCAGCTCTGAAATATGGCTAAACTGGTGGCAAGTGGCATCGTGGCAGCTGCACGCTTGACTTTTCTCAGTTCATAGGCAGTTATTTTGCGCCTTGGTTTTTCCACACGCTTCTTGCGACCCTGTTGACTATTTTGAATGAAACGCTTGATTGTTCGATGATCACGCTTCAGAAGCTTTGCAATTTTAAGAGTGCTGCATCCCTCTGCAAGATATCTCACTATTTTTGACTTTTCTGAGCCTGTCCATTCCTTCTTTTGACCCATTTTGCCAAAGGAAAGGAAGTTGCCTAATAATTATGCACACCTGATATAGGGTGTTGATGTCATTAGACCACACCCCTTCTCATTACAGAGATGCGCATCACCTAATATGCTTAATTGGTAGTAGGCTTTCGAGCCTATACAGCTTGGAGTAAGACAACATGCATAAAGAGGATGATGTGGTCAAAATACTCATTTGCCTAATAATTCTGCACTCCCTGTAGTTCTGTCTGCAATTGATAAGCAGCTTACCTTCATGGAAGTGCCATGACAATTGTATTTATTATGCCTAAAAAGCATTTGTCAGGAGACTAAACTGCAGATTTTTTTACTGAACACGCAATGCAAACTAGTGATTTTCACCTTAAGAAACTGAAACAGTACAGCAAATGAGGTTTAAGAAGAATGTTTGTATTTCAGCACAAAAAAACCCCAGGAAGATCACAAGCAAGAATTTATCGGTATAGTTTAGACTGCTATTCTGCATGCCTTGGGATTCTTAGAACAAACCTCCAAGTACCTTCCACGGTTATTTCTCAACTGACTGTGAAATGTTTGACAAAAACAAAGCTCCCTACTCATGCCTGTTTCTCATCCCCTCTGCCGCCACTTTGATAATGCGGAATATAAACATTTTACATTACCTATATCAATTCCGTCTGACCTGAATGGCTTTGATAAGCTAAAATAACTGGGATAACCCTATCCCTTTACTCTCAGTCATAGCGGACGTGGTGCTTATATTGCCCATTTAAGTCTAGAACATATGCACTAAGTGTATGACTGAGCATTGTGGTATTAATTCCCAAACATCTAAACTGCCATCACTTATCTAGGTATATGATAACTTGCTAATAGCCTACTAGAGCTTTCAAACATTGCTAGCATCTGTTAACACTAACCAGCTTTCACATGCAATATACCGAAGCAGTAATACATTTATGTTACACTTCTTCCATAGTGCCATAATCCTTGTATGAATTAGGAATATGCATCAATAATGATTCCTGGTAATTAATTAGGAAAAACAAATGGCTGATCAAGGACTACACTGGTGGGGTGGCGGGAAAACAAAAGGATAGACATTGGGATCAGAAAAATCATATTTTTTAAGAGAATGGTTGATAGAAGATATTCATTATATATATATATATATATATATATATATATATATATATATTAATAGTGCTTCATCTCCCTCTTTCCATATTCTCTATTAATCAAAGCTCCAACTACATGGAGGAAGCTCTTCTTCCCATCTAAAAATATTTTGCAAGCTGATAGACATACAATATTTTACAATGCGTTTATGAATGCTACTAGTGAGTGCAAAACTTTAATATAAAACAATTGGAAGGCGGAGGTAAAAAAAAAAAAGCTGATTAAAAAGTGTAAGTAGAAGTAGAAGTTACCTGCTCTACCAGAGTTCAGAAGTCATTAATCAACATGGATAACATCAGGTTACCTCCTTAAGCACCTTGAATAGCTTATCTTTTGTCTACCGTTCAGAAGAACACCATATTTTATTAATTCACCATCTATTTCAAGAGATCCTTGGAAATATGATTTTCAACTTTGTACATTCTTTTAGAGCTTGCGCTTATTTATTATTGAATGTTACCTACTAGCCTGTGTCATGAACAATTCCCAATGAAAATATATTGTTATGGATCTGTAAAGTAGCGACGCAAAGGAGTCAGTCGGAACCTTTTAGAATGAATAATGAAAACAAAAATATATATACAAAGTTGTCTTTTCCGTTTACAATTTGTGAAAGTTTGTCACTTTATCTGCTGTGTTATAGATATAAAAACATCAGATAGATTACGTCATTTTTAAAAAAAATTTATTATGTAGGTGCAAATGTACTGCATTCAGTTCTATAAACAGTGGGCTGAAAAATCTATGCTTTTTGGCGTATTTTGACTGTTTGTAATTTGTAGACTTTAAACGTTTACCCTATGCTACAACTGGCAGATTAGTTCATCACAGTTTAGTGAAGTTATCCCATTTCATGCATTATAGCTCTTTAACCCCTTAGTGACAAGACCGCTTTTCAATTTTCTTAGCACTTGGGACCACGGCTCTTTACACATTTCTGCTGTGTTTGTGTTTTGCTGTAATTTTCCTCTTACTCATTTACTGTACCCACACATATTATATACTGTTTTTCTCGCCATTAAGTGGTCTTTCTAAAAATACAATTATTTCCATCATATCATAACTATAAAATAAAATTCTAAAATATGATGAAATTTAAAAAAAAAAAAAAAAACACACACTTTTTCTAGCTTTCATCCCCAACATCTTACGCATCTACAACCGCCAAAAAACACCAGTTTCTAAATTCTGTCCCGAGTTTAGAAATGCCCAATCTTAACATGTTCTTAGCTTTTATTTGCAAGTTATAGGGCAATAAGTACAAGTAGCACTTTGCTATTTCCAAGCCATTTAAAAAAAATTAAATTAACTCACGTTACATTGTAACACTGATATCTGTCAGGAATCCCTGAATAACCCTTTACATGTATATATTTTTTTAAAAGAAGACAACCTAAGGTATTAAACATGGGGTATTTTGACTCTTTTCATGCAATCATTTTACCACCAATCTATGCCAAATGTAAAAAATAAAAAAAAATAAAAAAAAGATGATTTTTTTTTTGACAATTTAAGAATACATGTACTGATAACTTTAAGGGTTACTGCCAAAGAACACCCCAATATGTGCTCAGCAACATCTCCTGAGTACAGTGATAAAACCCATGTATAGGTGTGTAGAGTTCTCTGGGGGCTAAAAGACCTTATTTGGAGGGTGCGCTTTCCAGTAAAACTCATGACAATGATATCAGAAGTAAAAATGCAAAAAAATTAAATAAAAACACTAACTTTGGCCAGCATTTGTGACTAAATGTCTACTACAAAAGACTGGACATGCACCATTTTAAATACCCTGGGTTGTCTACTTTTTCAAATGGTATGTCATGGTAGGGTTAATGTTTATTTCTGGGCTGCCATACCGTCTCAAAGACAACATAGCCAGTCTGGCAGCAATTTACAAAAATAGAAATTGGCAAATCTTATGGTTGACCCTGTAACTTTCCAAATCACCATAAAACCTATACTTGAGGGGTACTGTTGTCCTCATGAGACATTACTCTACATATAGAATGTGTGTGTGTGTATGTATATATATATATATATATATATATATATATATATATATATATATACACACACTGCCTGTGTTTTATGCACATTTAGATATATACACACACACACACACATATTATGCGTCTATACACACACACATGTGTGTGTGTGTGTGTGTATATATATATATATATATATATATATATATATATATATATATATATATATATATACATATACATATATATATACATATACATACATACACACACACACATGTGTGTGTATAGACGCATAATATGTGTGTGTGTGTATATATCTAAATGTGCATAAAACACAGGCAGTCCCCCTGCAGGCAGCTCCATAGACTCCTATTGCGTCCATTTGATCATAAGGAACACAGTCCTGCCACAGGAGGACTGCTGGGGTCTCTGGCAGTCCCCCCTGACCGGGGATCGTCGGTCCAGGTGAGTACCCGGGTCATTTTAGCTGCGGATGTGCGGTCATTAACTGTCATTTTTTTGTTGGATGTACCCTGCACGTCCGAGGTTGGGAAGAGGTTAAATAAGTTATGAAATTTAAAACATACATTTGGAAATTGGCAACTTTGGTGAATTCCATGAACTCCAGTTTCATTTTGTTTTCACATAAATGTTTAACATACTTTGTTAGTGACCATTCACAACTTGTCATCTGTCACCTCTTGTTTTATGCACATTTAGATTTTGATTAAAATTATAAATTAACTTACCTACTGGTCTACAGGACAGATTTTTGGTCTTAACATGTCTATACAATTTAAAGATCTACCCAAACCTTTAAAAGTAAAAAAAGTTAGAATTATATTTTTAGATAACTGTACTGCTTAATGATTACACAAATCTCTCTGCATCATATTGTTTGAAAGAGATAGTTATCGTTGACAAAATATGTCTTAACAGACCATGCAAAGTAAATTACCGTATTTTTCCACGTATAAGACTTTTTTTCTAAATGTTTTTAGTCTAAAATTGGGGGTCGTCTTATACACAGAATGTCACTGCAGGGGTTAAAAAAAATAAAATAAAATAAAAAAGACACTTGTGCGCGGGGCCTAAGCCAAGATGGCACCTGCTGCATTTCAGTGTGCCATGGCCCACACACATACCTGGTCTCCCTCCTGCCGATCCACTTCTAAATGCTGTGGCAAGGAGGAATAGGTCCCTATATGCGTTGGAGCTGTCAGTCCAGAGACATGCCACACCATAAAAGGAGCAGCCATATTAAAGTGTGCTCCACCTCTTGCTTTCTGATTTATATGTATGGAGGAGGAAGTGGGGATCAGGGAGCAGAGGGAATACTACTGTGATGTCCCAGCACACCACCTGCTGTATTGTGGGAGCTGTAGTCTCCCAGAATGCACTATAGAGCCATTACTTCAAAGTGTAACGTAGCTATGGGGAGGTATGAGAATCCAACGTGTGTTGTTCTCCTCAGAAGTCACCTCTAAAATATCAAAGTTTTTCGATTTGATGTTTAAAATATGTATTCGTTAATTTTGGGCTGAAAAAATATAGGTCGTCTTATATATGGGGGCGTATTATACACGGAAAAATATGGTAATAAGATGTATAATTTTGTTAATTTCCAAACAGTTTTAAAACACTCAGAAAAAAAATTCTCACAGACATAGAAACCATAGCCGTATTTATTGTATACCTCATTAGAATGCCTGTATAAATATTTATTATTATACTATCAGTATAAGTTTTCTATTTGTCACTATGACATGAACTAGGAGTTAAGTTAAGAGTTAAAGGACCACTATAGTGCCAGGAAAACATACTCGTTTTCCTGGCACTATAGTGCCCTGAGGGTGCCCCCACCCTCAGGGACCCCCTCCCGCCCAGCTCTGGAAGGGGGAAAGGGGTTAAAACGTACCTTTTTCCAGCGCTGGGCGTAGAGCTCTCCTCCGCCGATCCTCCTCTTCTCCCCGTCGGCTGAATGCGCACACGTGTCAAGAGCTGCGCGCGCATTCAGTCGGTCACATAGGAAAGCATTCATAATGCTTTCCTATGGACGCTGGCGTGCTCTCACTGTGAAAATCACAGTGAGAAGCACGCAAGCGCCTCTAGCGGCTGTCAATGAGACAGCCGCTAGAGGAAATAGGGGAAGGCTTAACCCATTCATAAACATAGCAGTTTCTCTGAAGTTTCTCATTAAGCTGAAGTGGTCTGGGTGCCTAGAGTGGTCCTTTAATTATCTCAGCCACTGTATTCTAGTTATGTATATACATTTCTGTTTGTGATCATTACCATTTTTGTTTAATAATGAACATAATATAAAAAAATAAATTAAAAAAAAAAACACATTTGAAAGAATGCCTGTATAAACACTGCACATTGTACCCCTGGTGTGCAATGTTGTAACAATGTACCCTGTACATCAGTTCATGTGATGTAAGAAGGGGAAAAAAGCCATATTAGAAAATGTTTGGATACCTTTTCTGCAGAGAGAAAAATTTATTTCAGTACTTTAGCAGTTTTTGGACATTCTGCAGTAACACTGTGTTACTGTGATTGTGTTATCAATATCATAAGCGAGTTATGGATTAATATATAGTGTTTAACCAAGGCATATCATTTGGAAGAGGCCAGTGATGTGACTGCAACAAACACAGACTTGACTTTAAAAAAAAAAAACAAGAGACATTTTTATGGTCATTGTATTGCACTGTATTAAACACCATCATTAAAAACAGTATATGTTGAATAATATTTAAAAACAAATCACAAGATACAAAAGTTACAAGGAAAAAAAACAAACAAAAGAAAACCATGATTTACAAAGACACGTCATGCATACAAAAATTTGCAGAAAAATCTTCATACTTTATATCTTAACCATGGTCCATATAGAGGTTCATGGATATGGAAGACAAAAAAAAAAATGGGATTTGTTTTGGCAGTGTTTGTTCGGTTGCAAATACATTTATGTACTAATATGATATGCAAAAATTTCCAGTCCTTGTATAAAGGGGCACTTCTTTGGTCAGTTAAACATTTAATGAACATGGAAAACACAAGAGTTGCTTGAAGCAATTCAAGATTGATCATCCCTCTTTGTGTCCAATTGCAGGTCACTTGTCTGAGATGAAAGGAAGGTTTCCCAAGTGGCAAGGCACTGCAAGGGAAAAGAGAAAACAAAAGTGACTCAACTTAATAATATAGAATTATACATATGGATAAAATGCACACTCTAGGAAAACAAATATACCTCTTCTTTATACAGGGGAGGAAAGGGGGGGGCAACTCAACATAACCAAACTGCAATAAGTTGCAGATATTAAGGTTTGAATACAGGTTAACTGTTGGTACAGGAGTTATGCAATTTCTTTTTGAACAAAATCAAATTTTGTCTGAATCTTGGCTGATGCAGCAATTCAGAAATTGCCGTAACACAAAAATGGAACAAATCCATTTGTTTTGATAAAGGATAACAAAGTCTTCAAAATGAATTTTGAGATATATATATATATATATATATATATATATATATATATATATATATATATATATATATATATATATATATATATATATATATATATATAGATGTACAACTCCCTAAATTGGTACTTTGAAACTTTGTGACAGTCACCGTCATTCATTCACAACAGTGAACAATGGGCATCCGAATTTCAGAAACTAAATTAACAAATTGTCTCCCCCACCCTCCCTCGTGCACATCTCTAGTTGGTACTATGATTTTTTACTATTTGATCTATTATACATAAATAAATGCATTTATGTATAATGCTGGAATATAACTTAAATGCTATATTGTATATTTGTAGTCAGTTCATGCATAATCCAGATGTGCTTAAAAGGCACACTGTGGGTACTGTCACTGCTTCATTTAATGGAAGTGATTACAATGTCTGGAGTCCTGTCAAACTATTTTTAACGTTTAATGCTAAACAATAGTCCCAAGCAGCCCATTCCCTCTGTACTGTTTGAGCTAAAGAGGAAGAGCTACTCTGAGCAGCAATGCGTGGCTGCCCACTTTCAACCTATCACTTTGTCCATTGCTGGTATGATTAGGAATGACATGAAGGAAGTGTGTAATCTCTGCTTTAGCAATAATTCCAGGCTCTGTGATGCTTATTTAATGTTAACTGCTGGAAAAAAGTTTAATATTGAATGAGGGACAGTGCCAGATTACTCCAGGTGCTATAAAAACAATTCAATGAGAATACATGGCTTGTGTAGTTAAGGTAAAACTATGCGTTAAAATGACCCCTATTTTTCTTTTTTATGGATTTCACACCGCTAAGCATAAATAGCATGTTTGTACTCAATGCAAACATACCGACATACCAGACATTTATTTATTACTGGTATTTATAAAGCGCCAACAGATTCCGCAGCGCTGTACAATTAGTGGAGAATGTACAATATACACAGACAAATACAAGAGGTAGAGAGAACCCTGCCTGTAAGCTGATAACGAGCCATTGGAGCTCTTTTATACAAAGTGCTTATCTAGATAGCCCGTGAGCTTACAATCTAAAGCATACAATGGGGATTTGAGACAAGAGGAAGCATGGGAAATTTGGAGGTGAAAAAGACTAAAAGAGTTAGAGAAGCAGCTATTGGTAAAATATAAAGAGAATGGAGAGGTAATTGAGGGAGAATCTCAAACAGCTGGAGGAGCATGCTATATATTTAGGGGGAATCTGGGTGGGCGGGTGGGAAGCGGTAAGGGCTGTTGGATTTGCTGCAGGATGTTAAATGCATATCGTTATAAAATATGTTCTTTGCATCTGGGGGTCAGCAAAGAGAAAACACACAGCCAATAAGAGGGGAACTAAAACAATGTTTCTGTTTCTTTTCATTTGCGTTGTTTGCCCAGGCTTGTCTGAACTGGATTATAGTGTATTTGTAAAATCCTTAATATAAATTTATAATAAAAGAGAACATTTCATAAAAATAGAACTTCCATAATAAAATTTTTAGGCGACTTTAAATAGATTATTCAATTGTGTAAACTCCAAAAACATTACAGTTACCCTTTAATCAATTTACTGCTTGTGGCATTACTTGCCTCCAACAAGCCGCGTGGTTCGACTGCTCCACCGGCCGCTGGGCACATTTAGTGGGACTCTCTCGCATTGAGACATGCAGACCTCCTCCTGCCTTGCGGTCTGGTCGAACTATGCAGCCGCACCTCTATAGATGGATGTGGACATGACATCACGCTCACTCTTAAAGTGATCACTTCATCATTGTGCTCCTAATCTATTTTGGATCGCAGTAATGAA